GCATGGATCTAAAGAGCAGGTGGCTGAGCTCACAGCTCCAAGGACCCTGTCCACTTCCTCAAATCCAACAGGTACAAACTGTTCCCAGATAACAGGGCGAGACTCCTCCCTAGGCACCTCCACTGGACCTGCAGTAAAGCCAGTGTCCAACTGAGAACAAATTCGAGCGATTTTATCCAACAGATGCCGAGAAAATTCCTCCACATGTCCCTACAGAAGGTTCTGCAAGCCATCCTTACCCAGGAGGGCTCACGTCACCTGAAACAGGGCTGCCAGGTGGCTATCTGCAGACGCAATAAGAGTGGAGGAGTAATAACGCTTTGCTCCCCTTATCGCCACTAAGTAGGCATGAATAGCCACTCTAACTCGTATTCGGTCGAGTTCCTCCCTTGTTGAGTGCCAGTGACACTCTAGATGTCTCTTCTCTAATTTCCTCTCCCTTAGCTCTTCTGTAAACCACGGAGAGTGCCAGGATCCCTGAGAGGAGAGAGGTCGCATGGGCACGATCTGATCCAAAGCCTCAGCTGCCCCTTTATTCCAAGCGGCTACCAAGGCTTCAGATGGACCATGCAGCAGACCAACAGGAAGAACCCCAGCTCCCTCTGGAACACATCCAATCAGTTTTTATTACCACCGCCTATTTAAGGATGAAAGCATGATGGGTTTCAAAGGATAAGCTGTAATCCCAGATACCTATATGTATTATTCATCATTTCATGTTCAAATGATGGGGTTATCCTAGCATTATGATTGTTGATACTGAAAATAATGTTATTAAAGAAGATCCATCTGACTTTGTAACAGAGAACTGTCAACAATCACCGATTGCTTTTTATTTTCATTCTAAAATTAAATTGTTATATTTCTTTTCTAGCTGATGGTGACAGACTGATTATGAAAGGAGCCAATTTAACAACTAAAGAGATGTTAAATGCATTCAACAATAGATGTCGAAAGAAAGAGCGTTCATTGGCAGAGTAGCCACGAAGAGAGGCTACCTAAAAACTGACCATAGAAGAATTTGCATCAATAATATAAATGCATAAAAATCTGCATGAAGCTACTTCTTTTGGAAAAATGGCAAGGACTTTACTAAAAACTGAAAGAAATCTGAAGTGGATATGGAAAGGCAGAGTGATTCTGATAAAAAACAAAACTATGTTTTTTGGACTTTTGATTAAAGATTAAACTCTTAATGCTTTATCCAGTATTAGATGAACATTATTTGTCTTAGTATCTCAAATCAAGTAACTTAGTCCATAAAATCCTGATCTGTTTCAGTCAACTGATAAAATACTATATTTGTATTCACAAATGCAAATTATTCATAAAGTTTAATTAACCTGGACTATAGCTAAAAGTTTTTCTATGGCACAGAATTGCATACATTTTATAAATCTTATGACTTGCATATATATGAAGCTATACCTACCTCCAGAATACATTAGTCAAAACCACTGGCCTTTTTATAACCTACATAAGGCTTCTTGAAGCAAGTGATTAAAAAGCATCATTGGTAAGTATCAAGGCATATTTTTAAAATGTTTTCTTCTCTATGTGAATTGCAATTCAGAAACTCTTCCCATTTGACTGTAATCATCTCCTCCCCATTTTATTCTCTCCGTGTGCTTGCAGGAATGAAAATACTTGATTCAGAATGCAAATAATATTTTAACTAAGCTTTGAAGGCCTCTGTATGATTCTTTAGGATTCAGGCTAAGGATCCTTTTGCATGTAGAATTGAAGATAGAAACATCAGAGAGTAGTCCCCTCCCTCTTCAAGTTGTGCTGGTGTTTTGAGTGAGGAACTAGTCTTGAGTACAGTAGGAGCCCTTCACTCTCAGCATGCGGATTAGCTTTTCCCTGATGTCACCATCCTGAGATTCAGAAATGAGGTGCTGTTCACTGATGTTTACGTGTTCCGTTATGTGCAAAGATATTGCCTGAACAAGACTTTGTGAAATTGCAAAGCTGTTTGTTTCATCCACCTTCTCTTACTTTTAATTCAGATGGGGTCTATAACATGTATGCAGCCTGCCTCCCTTTTCCTGACCCTTAGAATGCTCCAGATTCCATTTCTGAAATGTGGTGGCAAATTTATTAGCACAAGAAAGATACAACATTATCTTTCCAGGGATAAAACTTAGCTCAGTGTCTCAGAATTTTCTGAGTGAATTCCAACTCATATTATGTAAAATGACATCCTGCAAAGAGGGTCAGCAAGTTCATTGTACAACATACACTAAATTAGGCAACATTTTTGAGGAAGTTGACAGATGGGTTTAGAAAACCCAAGACCTATATTTCTCATTTCCTTAATAAAAATGCATTGTATATGAGTTGTTTCACATCTAAATGTATGAAACTTTTTTAGGAATCTTATCAATGTGGTTCAATTTTTATTTTATTTATTACTGACATCTGTATGCTGCTCTACTCTCAACAGCTCAAGCAGTGTACACAAAATAGCTATATACTGATTATGATAATTATGTGCCTTGAAGTTGTTGTCAACTTTTAGCGGCCACATGGATAGATAGATTTTTTTCCATGAAACTGTATACTAGAATAGTATAATACTGTAATATTATCATGTGTAGTAATAGGAAGCAAATTTAAGTTGTTGTGGAAGTTACTAACTTTATGCCTTGAATACCCAAAACAAAGTAGTTTGAATGGTAGAGCATCATATCTGTGTAAGAAAATTAACAAATTGAAGCATGTCCAGAAGAGAACAAACAAGATAATAAGGGGTCTGGAAAGATAAAGATTCATAAAGATTATGAATGGTTGGGGTCATATGTTTAGCTTGGAGAAGAGAAGGCTGTAGAAGACTTGCTAGCTATCTTCAGGTATCTGAAGGGCTGTCATGTAAATGGGCAGAATTGTTCAGATGTGTTCTAGAAGACAAGAACCTGGGTTTAACTTATAAGGAAACAGATTTAAGTTGGACCTCAGACAAAAGTTCCTAAGAGGTAAGAGATGTTAAACGATGGAACAAACTACTTAGGGAGGTTTCTCTTTTCTGTATTTAAACAGCAGCTGGACAGCCATCTGTCAAGGATGGTGTAATAAACGATTCTTGCATTGGGCAGGGGATTGGACTAAATTAGCCATGCCAGCTGGGGAATTCTGGAAGTTGAAGTCCACACATCTTAAAGTTGCCAAGGTTGAGAAACACTGGACTAGATAATCATCAAGGTCTCTTCCAACCCTTATATTTTATGATTGTTTGAATTTATATTTTATATTTCATCCATAACAGGAAGATATTTTTATTTATACTATAAATAAAGTGGATGAGGCTAAAGTAACATCCTTTTCTTCCTGTACTCTCTCTTGCTGCCTTGGTACTCTTTCCAAGGGCCCTTCTGCACAATGACTCTGTCAGTTCAAAACCAGCTTCAGACCTCCACAGTTTCATTAGCTCAGTTACATTTGAGAATGGAGCCAATTTCTAGCTCAACTGGAGCATATTTGAAACTACAGAATACCACTTACATTTTGCTTTGAAATACTGTGGCCCTGGAGTTTATGAGCAATGTGCTTCCCCATTTGCTAAAATTCTTGCCTCACCCCCCAGTCCTGAGCTTCAGACATACTAACAAGTTTTTAAAGAGAAAGGGTAGCTTGCCAACTTTGCAGCTTCCTCCAATTTAGATTTTTTTTTAACACGACCTAATAAATGAACAAGTTTTTTATATGACCCAATAAATGCACAAATTATGAAATAAATGGAATACAGTAGTTCTCAATTTACAACCACAACTGGGACTAGAACTTCTGTTGCTAAGCAATGTGATTGTTAAGTGAGTTGTGCCTGATTTTACGACCTTTTTTGCCACAGTCATTAAGCGAATCACTATGGTCATTAAGTGAATCCGACTTCCCTCCACGTCATAATCCCCCTGAAAAGGTTGCAAATAGCGATCATGTGACCCTGGGATGCTGCAAATGTCATAAATTACATGCTGGTTGCCAAGCACCCGAATTGCGATCCCATGACCATGGGGATGCTGTGAGAGTTGTAAGTGTGAAATATGGTTTTAAGTGACTTTTTTCAGCACCATTGTAACTTCAAATGGTTGTTAGACGAATGGTCATAAGTCGAGGACTACCTGTATGTGAAGCAATGTTTTATATGGAATGGGGGTGTTTCTTTAGCAGATAGCAACCTAGAAACGGGACAGTAATTTTTCAATCCTTATTCTCACCTTGCTTATTGTATAACTTTGGAAATGGGAATCTTTGGAAATGGGAAACTGAATGGGAAGCAAACTTAGCGTTAAAATGACTGGTAAGCATTAGAACTGCAACATGATAAAGACTACTTGGAAGTGTTGCAAAACGAAATTCAAACCACAGAAAATTGATAAACAGCTGAAAATGTAAGACTCTTTGAATACCAAGAAAATTGCACGTAAATTCCCCTCAACTCATGCCTATATCTACAGTTATTAAATATCATTCTTTACTAGATTGAGATGCTGACAATTTCTGTCAGCCGAAGAGGTAGTCATAGATGGAAGCAAGGGTGAGGAACTTGGTACAGAACTGAAGAATGAAAAACACGAACAGCTAGTAACTAGTTAGAAGACTGTACAGATTTGTCTTTGGTTGCAAAACATTTATGCACTAATATCTATTTTTGAACAGCTGCAAGAAGCTAATAAGCCAGAGGAATTAAAAGCCTTAGTAGAAAAAAAAGGATCTCTTGTTCTGAAAAGGATGGCAATACACTAATGTGGATTATAAAACAAAAAGAAACTCCTACATTGAAAAGGGTATTACATTTCCTCATCATAAGGTAAACAAGCATGAAGAAAATAAGCTAAATTCACATCTGGAAAACGAAGGACAAGGACAATTGTATGTCTTGCAATTAAAATTATGTTGTGGATAGAAGTGAATCAAACCATCTTCAGGGCAATATGAAATGGGTCATTGGGAAATGTCTCTTGCAGATTCTTAGATGTAAAATAAATCTAAGTGAAATAACTGTGATAATACAGCTCTTACTCTTCAAGGATTTAGGAGATCACTGCTCTCCTTTCAACATAGGTCATGCCCCAAATGCTCTTAAGACTTAGATGGTTTCTACAGAACTTTGGCATTGTGCCCAACAGAATCTTCCAAATCTTGGGAAGAACGTCAACATGGAGTGGGAGTGCAAAACAATGTGCACACCTGTTAATACTGCTCTATTTAATAAGACACTTGAATAAGCAGAACAAAGTCACTACAGACTTCTAACACACTTTCCCAAGAAGAATGAAGAAATACAATAAGCAATCTTGATGACCGATTTGAAATTACTGGGTTCTCCCCTACCAATTCATTGCAGAACATTTTATACTCCTGCATTGAATCAACATCAAGGTCACATGCCCAGATTTAAAATAGCTGGGAACACATAAAAAGTTCTATTGTCATGTGTATCAATCTATCCAACAGCATCAAGATTTAAATGCTAGAATTCAGTCAAATGATCACTCCCTAATTCTGCAATTTAAGAATTACTATGAGGAGGAATTAAGAGGGGAATGGGATTAACAGGGTCAATATTTTCAAATATCTTGGAGAGATCTCCCACACCAAAGGGACCTGGAGCACACACTGTGACTATGTAGCACAAGTAACCTCAAAATCTTCAACTATTATGTTTTCTTTACTAAAGTGGTCAATTAATACCAACTGCACTAAAAAATTTTGAAGCCAAATCTTTGGCCCAAATCCTATATGGCATGAAGATGGGAATTTATGCCAAGAAGGGTGAACTGGAGCAGGTGAAAACAAAAATTTTGAGAGCTGTGCTTGCTGACCCTAATGGGACAGCCAATATCCAGGTTAGATTGGAGACAGGAATGCCTAAAATTCAGGTAGGAGCTTGGAAGCTGGTGGTTTATATTGACTGAAAATTCAGTTCTTCCCAACAGTTTGCCACCTTTCGTTTTTGCTGATGACTTTGCCTCAAACTGGCAATTGGTGGTAGAGCAGAAGCTTGTATAATTTAGGCTTTTGGCACTATTTTTATTGTTACTAAGACACAATCAGGCTAAGCAAACACTCGCCCAAACCACAAATGATATGGAACATCAGGCTAAGGTAACTAGGTAATTGTCCCAGAACAATAGAATTTGGGTTGTTAAGAGTAGAGTCTAGCAAATTATTTGCACCCTCTCACTTTTCCCATGCTGAGAAAA